AGCTGACTTGGGTTCAATCTCTATATCCCATGGGGTTCCCTAAGCCCCACCAGGAGTGATACATGGGCTTAAATCTAGAAGTAATCCCTGAACACCTCCGGGTTTCCCCCTAATCCCCCCAAAATAAAACACTGCCAGAAATATTCAGAATAGTACTTGGGCACGTGCGCACACACACACACAGATAGCATGATGTTGATTACACTTGGGCATCTTGGCTGTATTAACAGCCAAGTTGACACAGTTAATCATCACAGATGAAGTGATTCTACAGCTATTTAATGAACACCTAATAAATGCATGGTAGTAAGTTCTAGTGATAGTATTCTGGGAAAATGAAAATAGGACCAGAGAGATAGTACAAGGGTTAAAGCCCTTGCTTTGTGTACACTTGTTCCCAGTTTGATCCCTGGCATGTCCTGACGGGAGTAGCCCAGCACTGCCAGGTTGGCCCAAACACCCCCCTCCAAATAAAAGACTAGGAAGATAAATTAAAAAGAAAGGGATTTCAAAAATAAAACGGGGTAGGTGGTATTGGTTATTTTAAATCAGGTGGTTCGAATTGCTAAGATCTTTCCTTGGATACTTTATTTTATTTTATAATATCGATTTTTATACTCAGAGACTATAAAATCCAGCTCCCGGACAAGAACAGTGCAGTCTTCTGCCCCCGCGCCTGGCATACGCGGCTGCACGACATCTTATCAGGACATCTTTTTATGACATCTTATTATCTCATTCCTACTTTGGACAAACTTGCAGGCTATCGAATGTAGCCTGCCCACAGGGCAGAGTCTGGCAAACTCCCCGTAGCGTACCAAATATGCCAAATACCAGTAACAATGATGGGTCTCATTCTCCCAAAGAGCCTTTAATATAATCTCAGGGCTAGGATGAAGGAGACATTACTGGAGCCTGCTCGAGGTAATCGACGAATAACAGGATGATGAAATGAAATGAAAAATCGTTTTTTAAATTTTAATGTAGAAAAAAACCACAGCTGTTGATATAATTCTATAATTGAAATAGATTAGATAACAAATTCCAGTATTAAATTCCATAAGTATAAAAAAATGTATGTGAAAATTGTTACATCGGATCTCAGGGTTGCTTAGAACTCATCTTTAGAATTCATCAGGCTATTTGTTGCTTTAGGCTTACTCAGGATCCGGGGTCTGGACCAACAAGCTGAGGTGGCTGTGGGAGATGGGTATGGCCGCCAGGACTTCTGGAAGTCCAGAGGAGCAGGAAGCTGCCAACCCCTAGTCCGAGAAGACTCCCCCCACACACACAAGTTCTCAGCCTGGGCACCAGGTACCTGAAATTATTCACAGTTTGGTGTCTGTGCAGAGAATGTTCATGAAGCCGTGGAATTGGGCCTTGGCATGGCTGCAGGGTTGGGGGTAGGTGCAGCTGCAGAACCTGAGGGAGAGCTGGTGCTCAGTTCACGCCCCTCCTGGGGTGGGATTGCTGATTGCATAAATTTAGCTGCTCAGGGCAATCAGTGCAGGGCCGGTGAGCGAGTCAGCACGGGGCGGGGAGGTAGGCTCACATCTTTCACTGTTGAGAAAATGTTGGCAGCCCATATCAGAATAGTAAAATGTTCCTGTAGGACTAACATACGGAGAAGGAAGGAGGTACAAGGTGATGCCCCACAATCTAGTGTGTGTGGTCTCAGCAACCACCACAATTAGGAAAAGATTTTAAAAATGAAGGGAGCAGGTTGGAGCGATAGCACAGAAGGTAGGGCATTTGCCTTGCACAAGGCTGACCCAGGTTCGATTCCCAGCATCTCATACGGTCCCCTGAGCAATGCCAGGAGTAATTCCTGAGTGTATGAGCCAGGAGTAACCCCTGTGCATCGCTGGGTGTGACCCAAAAAGAAAAAAAAATGAAGGGAGCAGGAAGAGAAAAGGAAAGCAAATTAAATGTTATCAAATGCATTTTAGATGTCTATTTAAATGATCATGTTTTAATTTGATTTTCTTAAACTAATCCATAATGAATTATATTAACAGTATTCTCATTCTGAAACCTAATTCCATGCTCATCATCATACCTGACCTGATTACCAGTGCTAATAGTTAATTCAGAATATTATAAACTATAGTCCATTGGCCAAATACGAACCAACACCTATAAGCTAAGAACGATTTAAAATGCTTTTAAAAAGTATAGTCGAAGTGACATCTGCACTTGTTTGTTCATTGCAGCACTCTTTACAATAGCCAGAATCTGGAAAAAACCTGAGTGCCCGAGAACAGATGACTGGTTAAAGAAACTTTGGTACATGTACACAATGGAGTACTATGTAGCTGTTAGAAAAGACGAAGTCATGAAATTTACATACAAGTGGTACTACATGGAAGGTATCATGTTAAGCGAAATGACTCAGAAAGAAAGGGATAGACATAGAGAAAGATTGCATTCATCTGGGGAACATAAAGTTACAAAATAGGAGACTAACACCCAAGAATGGCCTAGATTAGTACCAGGAATTTTACTCCATGGCTTGGAGGCCAACTACACATACTAGGGGAAAAGGATGCTCAGATGGAAAGGAGAACACCAAATAAAGGTGTTGGGAGGATCCTCCCAGGATGGGAGAAGCATGCTGAAAATAAACTATAGACCAAACATAATTGCCACTCAATGTTTCTTTTGCAAATCACAATACCCAAAAGGAGAGAGAGAACAGAGGGGAATGCCCTGCCACAGAGACAGGGTGGGTTAGGAGGGGATGGGGGGTGGGAGGGATACTGTACCTCATGATGTCTCACTAGTAAAAAAATTTTTAATAAAAATAAATAAATAAAATGCTTTTAAATAGATGAGAAATCAAAAGCAGAAACCTATTTAGGGGCGGGATGTGAAAGTCACATGAAAGGCAAATTTTACTACACATCCATAAAATTTTGAATTAGTTCCCTGTTGTGGCTGTGACATATTACCACAAATGTAGTGGTTCAAGACAACACAGATTTGTTCTCTGACAGTTCTGCAGATCCAAGGATGAAATCACATTTGCTTGGGGAAGGACAAGGGGGTGGAAGCCTGGTTCCTCCTCCAAGGGCCCACAGGGCCACCATGCACCTGCCACTTCCTGCTCTGGCTGCATTTCTGATACTTACCTAGCATCTTCCCAGACAGCAGTTCAGCACCTTCACATCTCTCTCTCCTCACCCTGTGCTCAATCTCTGATTCTTATAGCAGTGCTATTTAAATCAAAGGACAGTACACAATCTACACATTCATCAGTTGGTAAATGGACCTTTAAATAGTATATGCAAAGAATTGGATCCTCTGCAACAAAAAGAAATGAATTGTAAGAAGTCATTTGCCTTGCGGTGCGGCTGACCCCGGTTTGATTACTCCGCCCCTCTCAGAGAGCGCGGCAAGCTACTGAGAGTATCTCGCCCACACGCCCAGAGCCTGGCAAGCTCCCCGTGAGGTATTCAGTATGCCAAACACAGTAACAACAAGTCTCAAAATGGAGACGTTACTGGGCCCGCTTGAGCAAATCAATGACCAAGGGGGAGGACAGTGTTTGTTTGTATTAGCATACTACCATATGCATGAACCTTGGAAGCATTTTTCTAAGGAGACAAAAAAAGAAAAAAAGAGAAAAAAACGCAAAGACCACCTACCATAAACCTTTCATACAGAACATCCTGAAAAAAAAAAACACCAAATCTTTAGAGAAAGTGTGTAAGAGGTTGCCTGGGTGAGAGGAAAGAACAAAGAGTAACTGCAAATGGGCACAGGTGCCAGCTGGTGATGGGAGGGAGGGAAAGAAGGGAGTGTTTTTCTTAGATCAGGCTGAGGGTTGCCAATGTACTGAAAATCATTGACTTGTACTTTGTATGGAAGTAAGTGGTTTTTCAAGCGTAGCTAAAAATTAGGAAGCAAGGATGCAGTAAAGGAAACTCGGAGTTGGGGGCCAGAGACATAGCACTGGGATTAATGTGCTGTTGCCTTGCGTTGGGACCTGGTTAGATCCCCTGCACCCCACTCTTGTCTATGGTCCCCTCAGCAGGCAGCCAGCACCTGGGCACCAGAGCCACAGGCTGTGCCCCCAGACTCCACCATCCCCATATAGAAAAGATCTCTCCTAAAGGAGTCCAGAGCCAGGAAAACGCCCTTCGGTGAGGCTGGAGCCCAGGACACCCGGCTGCTGGGGTGGTGAGCGGAGAGCAAGGAGGGGCGCACACCCAAACACCTGGCAGGTGCGGGTGGGGCGTTTGGCTGTGGCTGTGGGAGATGAGAAGCGCCGTGGCAGGTTCTCAGCAGAACGGTTCACTGCCTGCGCGAGAGAAGGGGCCAGCGGCGGCAGCGCGGATGGGCTGCGAAGGGACAGGGCGCGCAGACCGGGCCCGGGACACCGTTCACGCCCCTGCGCCCGGAAGGCAGCGTAAGTGCCGGGTGGGGGGTGGACCTGGGTGTACCGGGGAGATGGGGGCCGCCAGGACCCTGCCTCGGTTTGCCCGCCGCGCCAAACACTGCAGGGATGCTGGCGAGGTCGCCGGGGGTGACCGAGAGCGTCCACGACTTTGGATCATGCACTGCGCGGGCTACGGGGACGCATGGGAGGAGGGGTGAGAGCGGTGGGAGAGGAGGAGAAGAGGAAGAGGAGGAGAGGAGGGGAGGATAGGAGAAGAGGAGAGGAGGAGGAGGAGGAGGAGGAGGAAGAGGAAAAAGAGAGGAGGAAGAGAAGGAAAGGAGGAGGTGTGACAGGAGGAGGAGGAGAGGAAGAGGAGGAGAGGAGGGAGAGGAGAGGAGGGGGAGGAAGAGGAGGAGGAAAAAGAGAAGAGGAAGAGAAGGAAAGGAGGAGGTGGAAGAGGAGGAGGAGGAGAGGAAGAGGAGGAGGAGGAGGAGAAAAAGACGAGGAGAAAGAGGAAGAGCGGGGAGAGGCGGGGGAGAGGAAGGGGAGGGGAGGAGGAGGGGAGGACTCCCGCTCCCAGCATGCCGCGCGGGCGGGCGGGCGCGCATGCGCTGTCGGCCGGCGGCGGTTCGCTCCCCGCGGGGGGTGAGGGCGGTTCGCGCCGAGGCGCTTCGGGCCCGGTGAGTGCGGCAGCGGCGGCGGCGGCGGGAGGGGACGCGGCTTCCCGCGGGGCGGGGCGAACGGGCGGTCGGCGGGGCCTGGCCTGGGCCGAGGGACGCGCGGGAGGGCAACGGGGGTCCCGCGGGGACGGGGCTGGGCTACGGTCAGGGGGGACGCGGGGGCCGGGGATGCCCCGACCAGATGGGCACACGCGGGAGTCGCTCACGGAGCCCCGCACAGCCGACCCCCCCCCCCCCAGTGCACACGCCTCCCGCTCACCGCCCTGCACACCCGCACACACCCCCGTGTATGCACCCCAGTGCGCGCACACGCCACTGTACACACCCCCGTACACGCATAGCCTTGTGCACATATTCCAGTGCTCACACCTCCCAGACACCGCCCTACACTCCTGGTACACGCCCCTGTACACGCACCCTAGTGCGCACACACACCGCTGTACACACCCGGCACACATCCCCGTGGACGCACCCTGATGCACACACACGGCCCTACACACCCGACACACAGCCCTGTACACACACCCCAGTGCACACGCCTCCCGCATACTGCCCTGCACACCCGGCACACACACACAAACACACACCCGTGCACGCACCCCTGTACACACACATCGCTGTACACACCTGGCACACACCTCCGTACATGCATACCAGTGCGCACGCCTCCCGCACACTGCCGTCCACACCCTCCACACACCCTGGTACATGCATAGCCCCATGAACGCACCCCAGTGCAGCTCCTATATACTCATATCCCCACATACAGCACCATATACAAACTCCAGTGCACACCCCCCTACACCTGACCCCAGTGCACACGCCTCCCACACACCACCGTACACACCCAGTACACACCCCCATGCATGCACATCCCGGTACACACACTCCAGTACACAGCTCCCATATACACATATCCCCACACATACACACTCTAGCACAGTACACAGGCTCCAGTACACAGCCCCAAACGCACTCATCTCAGTACACACCCCAGTACACAGCTCCCACACATATATACGCCTTCCCACACACACTCATTCACAGAAACAAACATGCACATGCTCCAGTACACACACCCATACAAACACACCCTCATACACACCCACCCTCATACCCCCATATATGCCCTTAGTACATACCCCATAAATACAGCCTCCACACACCCATACACGTTTACCACCATGCACACACTCCAATATACACCTACCCCTATACACACACCCCAGTACACACATACCCCTGTACACGTTCTTACACACCTTCTTTCATATACACTTCCATACACAAACATACCTCCATACACACACACCCCTAGCCACATGCTGTTCACACACATCCATACCCCTGTACACAGCCCCATCACACACCCATACCCCATACACAGCCCTGTGCATGCACACACACCACTACATACATGTCCATTACACACAAACCCTCAATGCACACACTTCAAGTACATACACACCCCTGTACACACACTTGTATACACATCCCGCTCTAGACATACATCCCAGTACACACATGCCCCAAAGGGAATTCTGTACACACACAAAGACACACATACACAGACTTTAGACTCAGAGGAATTCTACTTGATAGTCACTGTTCTTGCTTTTGGAAAGGGGAAGAAGCTTTGTGGCCTAGGGTTTGAAAGGAATAGTAAGGGGCAAACTACATCTTAAATTTATTTTAATGTTTTGTCCTGTGTACAAAAAAAAATGTATTTCTTGAAAACTTGCAGGGGTACGTAACACTGGGCACAGCTCTTCCAGAAAGTGATATTCATACATATACCTACACCATGTGAAAAATACTGTCACTGTAATGCCTGCCACTCACTGCAGTGTAGGGCAAAAGATTGGACACAATCTTGGTGTTCATTTTTAATTGATGGTGAAATTATGTACAGTCTTGCCTTTGCAGTAGTGAAAGTGAAAGACGGAGGCTGGAGAGGTAGTCCAGTGGGTAGGGCATTTACCTTTACATGGCTGGCCCAGGTTTAGTCCCTGGCATCCCAAACAGTCCCCCCAGCACCACTAGGAGTAACCCCTGAGCATTGCCGGATGTGGTCCTAAAAAAAAAAAAAAAAGGAAGTGAAGGTTTTTGGATAAAAGGGGGAAAAAAATCATCACCGGGATATATAGTGGGGGAAATGGAAATGTTACTGTACCCCCAAAAAACCTGCATCACCAGTGTGTAAAAGCAAAAAGGAGAGGTGTGCTGCTAACAGCTCAGCATGATACCACAATCAGCAAATACTGATAATGGCCTTTGATGAGGAGATGTGGCTGGCACCATGAAAGTGGGATGAGATTTTTCATTTTTTTGCTAACTTTTGATCCGTGAATCGTAGATGTATAATGGAGATTCTTATTTTTGATAACCCTGAATAACGAAAGATCTCCTGAGGTAGAAAGGAATGCTACATAACAACCCTGAATTTTCAGTGGTTTCTAGACTTGGTGTTCTTGGTTCTTCAGATCAGCGTTTCATACTGCTTTCGTGCTTTAGATCTTGTCTAGATTAGGCTGTGCTCAAACCAGTGTGGATTGAGCACAGTGGATTTTCTATCCACTGTGTATCTTTATTTTGAGATCCATGCTAAAAGAAAATTAAAATGCCTGAAGCTTACCCCCCTTTTTTTTAATGGCAAGAATTCAACAAGACTTCTAGAAACTGGCGTGCCTCAGGTCGCAAAAGGCTCTTTGAAACTGCTCTGTATTTTCTGTTAAACAACGCGAGTCATGTAGCCAAGGCCAGAGTCAGTAGTGACCACGTATGTTCCGTCTGCTGGGACACTCTACCCAGGCGTGTGACAAAGGGTAGGATGTCTACATTTTTATTGCAGGGAGAAAGATCTGGAAACAAGAATGACCAAGGAGGTGAGTTAGAAAGATAAGTTGAAAATAAGTTGATGGAAGTTGAAGTTGAAAGTTGAAGTTGAAAATAAGTTGACGGAAGTTAATAGGGGAAAAAATGAAAAAAAAAATCTTCAAGTGCATATTTGTGCATATATGTCAAGGCACACCATTCTACTTAGATTAGAATTTTCTTCGGACCCAGAGAGATAGTACAGCAATGACGGTACTTGCCTTGCGGACAACTTGGTTTGATTTCTGGCACATCTTAGAGTCCCCCGGACACTGCCTGGCGTGCTCCCCCCCTCCCAAAAGAAAGCCCCCCCCACCTTTGGGTTTCCATGTCTATATCAAATTTGTTTTGTCTTATGTAACATCTGTCGGCCCCATACCTAGGCCTATAACCAGTTCGGAGTGCTCATAGAAACCATGAAGTAATCAAATAATGCACATTTAAAGATACCAGTTCTTCGAGTACTAATTCTGAATGTGTTTATTTTAGCTCCTGAATTTGTTCCTTCTTCTTATGTCCATGTCTGCCAACCCATTTTTCACAGTGAACCTTCTTTTCAGGGAGATGTCCTTTGCTTCGTAGATGTAATGCACTTTAAGTTTGTTACTGAACAGTGAAAATGAGTCTTACAGAGGTAATACATATTTTCATATACTTTCCATTTTTCAGGGCTCCTTTCCCTCCTACCCCCAAATCAAATAGTTCTAGGGTAATTTCTTTGTTTCAGCTTGCACTGTAAAACAGTGCAGCTTTGGGCTAAGAATAAAGACTCTGGGGAGTGGAGAGATAGTACAGTATCTCGGAGTAAGGTGTTTGCCTTGCATGTGGCCAACCCAGATTCAATTCCTAGCATCCCGTATCATCCTCTGGCCTTGCCAGGAATGATCCATGAGTACAGAGCCTGGAGTAAGACTTGAACATACCAGGTACGGCCCAAAAATAAAAATAAAGGTCCAAACTTAGGACTGCTTGTTATACTAGCTGGTGACTAACTTTGGGCGTATCGTTTAACCTGCTGTGCCTTAGCATTTGCTTCTGTAAATGCTGATAAGAATGCTTGACACATAGAAAAGTTAGAGTTCAGACATATAAAACACTGATCACAGTTCTGACACATAATAACTCTCTTAAATATTAGCGATGTCCTTTTTATTTGAAAGTGATGTCTTGAATCGTGGGTCTCACAAACTGTGTGTATGTGGGTGGGTGTGTGTGTGTGTGTATACACATATTCGGTTGTCTTAATCGGTGAAAAAGTAAATATTTTATTATTTTATTGTCTTGAATTCCAGGTTAAATTAAAAATACCTTTTGGAAATAAATTACTAGATGCGGTTTGTTTGGTGCCCAACAAGAGCCTGACATACGGAATTATTCTTACACATGGAGCTTCAGGAGATATGAATCTCCCTCATTTGATGTCACTGGCGTCCCATCTTGCCTCTCATGGCTTCTTTTGCCTGAGATTTACCTGTAAAGGCCTTAACATTGTACATAGAATTAAGGCATATAAATCAGTTTTGGTAAGAAAATTGTTTTCTCTCTTACTAATAGAAATGTAAGACCTTTTAGCAGTCATTTGGTATAATTAAATCTTTGGGGGCAAGGATTGTAGCTCAGTGGTAGCAAGAGTGAGCCCTGGCTTTGGTTCCTGGCACCACCCTCACCCCAAATTTAGGAAGTTTTTTAATATTAGTACTTAAAACTCAGTACATTGAGCTGGAGAAATAGTACCGTACGGCAGGTTGGGCACTTGCCTTGTATGGCCAGCCTGGGTGTGATCCCAGAACATGCCAGGAGTGATCCCTGAGCGCAGAATCAGGCAAAAACAAAAAACAAGAAAACAAACCTTCAAAATACATGAAAGCTGTTCATGGCTAGATACCCCTTTTTTGTCTGTCAGTTTCCATGGAGATGAATGCTCACATCACAAATGTTTCTTCCTGATACTGCCAAGGGAAATTCCTTACGATGTGATTCTCTTCTTGGAACAACTTTTGAGTATACTTCTGGATATTTTTCCAATTTCACTGTGAATGTATGAACACGGCACTGTTTTCTGTATTTATTTAGAAATGTGTTAAATTCCTGGATAAAACATGAAATTTTGAATGATTTTACCCTTGCTAAGTTCTTCAGAGCTTTATAGTAGTAGAAGTATATTATTTTCTTTTAGAAGTTTTTACTACCTTTTTACATTTCTAAAAAAAAAAAAATCCTTGACTGAATATTTGTAGACCAGTCACATGTGATTTTGCTAACATGTTGCTGTTATTACCCAATATAGCATTTGATACTGAAGGCATAGTCAGAATAGCAAAACCCTGGATACCTATTTCAGAAAAATGTCTTAAGATTTTGTGGTTGTCTTTGCAAAGATTTTTACTTTTCAGTAATGTTGAGAAACATGCTGGTTCTCTAACAGAATATTTTGCAGGGTAAGAATTGATCTTTTTTTTTTTTTTTGGTTTTTTTTTTAGAATTACCTAAAGACCTCAGCAGAATACAAACTTGCAGGTGTTTTCCTTGGAGGTAAGTGCACTATTTATCAACACTAGTTTTTAAATCTAATGATACTGCTGTAGGAATAGATGATCAGTAATTAAAATAAACAGGCTAATTTAGGATATTTTGTTTTGGTAAATCACCTCCTTGACTGTGGGCTCGAGCGATAGCACAGCAGTAGGGCATTTGCCTTGCAAGCTGCCGGCCCAGCCAAGCCAGGTTCTATTCCTCTGCCCTCTCGGAGAGCCCAGTAAGCTACTGAGAGTATTTTGGCTGCACGGCAAAGCCTGGCAAGCTATTCTTGACGTATTCGATGTGCCAAACACAGTAACAAGTCTCACAATGGAAATGTTACTGGGCCCGCTCGAGCAAATCGATGAACAATGGGAGGACAGTACTACAGTGCTACCTCCTTGACATTAATTTATTTATTTTTTGCTTTTTTTGGGGGGGGGGTGGTCACACCCGGCGATGCATAGGGGTTACTTCTGGCTCTGCACTCAGGAATTACTCCTGGCGGTGCTCGGGGGAACATATGGGATGCTGGGAATTGAACCCGGATCGGCTGCATGCAAGGCAAATGCCCTACCCACTGTGCTATCGCTTCAGCCCCTCCTTGACATTAGTTTAAAGCAAGTTTAAATATAAATATAAATAAACACTGTCCTCCCGTTGTTCATCGATTTGCTTGAGCAGGCCCAGTAATGTCTCCATTTTGAGACCTGTTGTTACTGTGTTTGGCATATCGAATACGTCACGGGTAGCTTGCCAGGCTTTGCCATGCGGGTGAGATAACTCTCAGTAGCTTGGCAGGCTCTCCGAGAGGGGTGGAGAAATCGAACCTGGCTCAGCCGGGCCTCTATGTGTTAATTAGAATATAATAGCTTTCTCTGCCCCTGACTTGACTCAGAATCAATTCTTTGCTGTAGATAAACATTTTGAGTATTACAGCTTGTTACTTGCCACTTTTTAGAGGTTCATCACTCCTTTCTGTGTATGTTTTTATTTCAAAATGAACTTAATTTTAATTCATTTTAGGTCGCTCCATGGGCTCAAGGGCAGCTGCTTCTGTAATGTGCCACATTGAGCCAGATGATGCTGACGATTTCGTTCGAGGTCTCATTTGTATTTCCTACCCCCTGCACCGTCCGAAGCAGCAGCATAAACTTCGAGACGAAGACCTCTTTCGCATAAAAGAACCCGTACTGTTTGTGTCGGGTTCAGCAGATGAGATGTGTGAGAAGGTGAATTACAGTTCGTGTTAGTGTGAATGAGGGAGAAGGAATGAAAAATATGTAGGGAGTAAGCTTTTACTTTGCAACTTTCAGTTCTCTTTAAAACTGCTGAGTTGAGGGACCGGAGCAAGCTACCGTGACGTATTCCATATGCCAAACACAGTAACAACAAAGTCTCACAATGGAGGCGTTACTGGGCCCACTCGAGCAAATCGATGAACAACGGGAGGACAGTGCAGTGCAGTGCTACTGTGTTTGAGAGACAGGGACTTTTTACATTTTCTTTTACAATATGTTGTTTCAAAAGTTGTAAAGGGCCAGGGAGATAGTACAGGGGCTAAAGTGCTTGGCTTGCATGTGTAACCCCGGTTCCACCCCAGCACCAAATATGCTTCCAGAGCATCACCAGTGGTCACTCTTGAGTACAGGGGTGGCCCCAACCTCCCCCCCACCCAAAAAAAAAAACGTCAGTAGGGTAGGTTTAATTCTTTTTTAGGGTTTTGGACCATCCACGCAGTGCTTTCTCCTTCCACGGGGTTTACTCCTGGCTCTCCTTAGGGATCACTCCTATAGGTTCTCATAAGATCTCCTTCTGTGCTGGGATTTGAACTGGGTCAGCTGTGTTCATGGCAAGCCCTGTAAGCCCTGTGTTCTCTCTGACCCCAGAGTCGATTTGTATGAATATTTGGTAAATCGAAGTCAGATTAGACAAGGTAAGACAAAAAGTAATCTTTTTACTACTCTTACTTTTTTTTTTCTCCTTTAGAACTTGTTGGAGAAAGTGGCACAGAAGATGCAAGCTCCTAATAAAATCCACTGGATTGAGAAGGCAAATCATTCCATGGCAGTAAAAGGACGGTCAACAAATGATGTTTTCAGAGAAATCAACACACAGATTTTGTTTTGGATCCAGAAAATCACTGAAATGGACAAGAAATAATTGTCTTTAGTTAGGAGCCCTTGTTATTTTGAATACAAATACAGTTCATTTGATTTTTAAAAAAAACATACCTCTCAGCATTATGAGATATATTTCAGACTAATTTAATGTTCTTTGATGTTCCCCCTATTTTTTCGAAACATGTTTTGTGAATTAAAGTTCTTTACAAGATGTCTTTGGAGAGCACTGTTATATAAAGATGATGTACAAATAGCGAAGGTGGTCTAAATATAATTTATTTTCATTAATATAGTTACGTTTTGAGAAAAATATTAAACATTTGAATTTGTTACTCTGGTGTGTTCATTGTATACAGCTGAGTTTGCAGTAGTCTTTTTTTTATTATTTCTCTTGCAATAACATTGATTTGTAAGAGAGTGTGTTTTAGGGGTACATTGTACTGCGCACACTATGTCCACCACACTTCATTTGATTCTTTTAGCCCACACCCTATCCTGCCCTTCCTTTTGGTACTCTTAGGTCTGTGGGCAGAGTTTGAAGATTTATTAGGGCCTACATAGCAGAGAGCGTTTGATACTTGTTTTTCTCCTGACTTACTTCCCTTAGCTTGACCCCTATCAGTTCCATGTTGCTACAGAAGACAAGATTTCATCTTTTCTGGTGACAGTATTCTATTATATATGTAGATAGTATGTTCTTTATCTGCTCATCTGTCATGGGGTACTGGAGTTGTCTTCAAATGTTCCCTATTGTATGTAGTGCTACAATGAACATAATAGGCGTGAGTGAATCTTCAAACGTGTACTTTGTCTTCGGATTCCTACCTAGGAGTGGAATTGCTGATCATATGGTAGTTTTGATGGGAAGTATGAGAAAAGGTATTTCTCAAATCATCTCTAACAATTCTCGAACCATTCCTGGTTTGTACTCAGGAGTGACCCCTGGTAGGACTCTTATTAGTAGGTCAGTAGTTAACAGGATAAAGGCCTGGAGGAGCCTAAGCGTTACCTCAACAGAAACAGAATCAGCAGGAATGGTACTTAGAGGTTCCTTTTCAGTTCTATAAGAGCTGTTCACTGACATACTAATCAGTATAATCTATTGACATATACATCACTGAGAGCTAGCTCTGAGAGTTAAGGAACTATGTTGCAGCATGGAATCTCCTATTAAGTTAATTATTAGAGAATGCCATGAGGCAAGAAAATTTTAGTATTTTACCAGCTGCATTGAATTTTATGGCAAAACCCAACAAATCATTTAGAGTGGTAGTTCAGCGGGTAGGACACTTACCTCATGCATGGCTGTCCTGGGTTCAATACCCAGGATCCCATATGGTCCCCGAGCACTGCCAGGTATAATTCCTGAGCATATAGCCCGGACTAATCCATGAGAACAGCTAGGTGAGGCCCATAAGGCAGAGAAAAAAAATATATATTGTGTGTACATACATGGAGGAGGCTATATTTGTCCCAAGAAAAGTCAAAGGGGTTGCTGAAATTTCTTCTAGAAGTAATGAATGCTTCCCATGTATTTAGGAGGGCTCTTTTGGGCAAAGACAAAATCCAAGATGACAATTGAACTTGAATAAAGATCATAAATACATGCAGGTAGGATCTAGTGAATGGTAGACTGTAGGATGTATCTATTATCTAACCTGTTACCCCGCAGTGCTCCAGGAAGATAAGAACTCAATAAACCTTTCACGCACATTGTTATGTGCTCAAAGGAGATTATGAAAGAGGAACAGTGCTATCATCAAAACTCTAGTAAAAAAGAAATATAAAATTGAGGTACTCTTAAGAAAAAAATTAGGCAGGACCTCCAGAGAGAAGCTATCATGTGTCCTACGGAACAACAATGAGATATTAAAATGTTGATACAAGATTCAAGTTAGCATGATACATCTCATAATGTTTTAATATATATATTTTTTAATCTGGCAACTCAATTTGTATTTTCCTGATCACAAAGAACCACAGAATTTACTATTCCTGGAGGTAATGGAAAATGGTTTCAATTTAGACTTATTTTTAAAATTTTTTAATTCTCGAGCAAGTGATAATCCAATTGAGTAAGAGAAATGTTTTTTTTTAGGAATTGTGTCTTCTGAAGTTCACAGAGATTGATGTATAAAATTTTAATCTAAGTAATTCTTTTTAAGTGCAGAGAAATAGTACAGGGGTTAAGACACATGCTTTATATGAGGCTGATCTATTTTGAACCCCAGCACCACCTGGCCCTTGAAGTTCCCTGATGGCCATTGAAATGACCTGGATAATGCCAACACTATAGGGTTAAGCTATATTACATCCTTTGGCTTACATTGAAGCTGACACCTTGGGTTGAAAATGCTATAATGGACCCTCAGGCTTTCTGAGCAAAACTTGGGAAGCCCCCTGTCCCACCAAAAAATAAAAGGATAAAACTACTTGTAATTCAACCAGACCTTACCTGTGAACTTGAATTACTACCAACGTCGATGCCCATTATGACAGCTCAGTACCCATTGTGACATGTGCTTCCCTTTCTGGGGCCCCAAGAGAGCACCACTGGCTTGGGTCACACAGAACAGCATTGGGCAGTTCCCCAGGCAGTGGTTCTGAGATGGGCTCATCAACTTTTCCTATTTGAGAGCATGCAAAATCCAGGACTTCAGAATGCGATATCTGTCTATGTCCCATTTTTGTAAAAATGTCAAAACAATATTTCTTTAAAAGTATATTGGATGTACTGAAAGATAATGGATTTCTTGCAGCGTGGGAATTTCTGGAGTCAGAGGTGTTTCAAAATAATTGGTTTGCAATTGTCTTCATAATTTACCTGGGAATTGTTTTTGAGATGGTGTTTATAAAGATTTGCACATCCTTGCAGAGGAAATCTGCCCTTTCAGAAGAGAGGACTTCTGATTCCGAGGAGGTAAGAGCCAGTGGTTGAATTTTGTCTTGTCAAATCACAATTTTCTAATAATAATTTATTAAATTGGTGGAATTTCATATTTATATTACTTTGCTAACATTTTGCCATCTCTCTTGAGATAGAATGAAGACAGCAGTAGTCTGAGAAGCATGGCATTTGGTAAATACACTGTTTTATCATTTTTTAATATAAAACTTGTCAGTCTGGACTTCTTCTGGCGCTGACTTTATTTTTCCTCATTTCTCTCCCAGATAATCAGTCAACGTGTTCATCTACAGAAGAAAGGTAAGTGATATATTTTAAAATCAAACTTTTAAAATATTATTCAAATTTTTATTTACACCTTAATTACAGGAAAAGAGTTTTCCCTATGTGTAGTGGACTACAGATGTTCAACATTATGATTCAAACTAATTTTGATATTAAGTGGTAGCTTTCTTCTAAGCTGTGTTAGTGGCTCTTCCTCTATTTTTGAAATTATCCTTTAACTTAGGTGTTCTACTGCTGTTTTGAAGGGTGAGGAAAATTAAGATGAGGAAGGTTAGGGGGTTGGAGCGATAGTACAATGGGTAGGGTGTTTGCCTTGCACACAGTTAACCTGGGTTCTATTCCCAGCATCCCTTATGGTCCCCTGAACACCGCCAGGACTAATTCCTGAATGCAAAGCCAGGAGTAACCCTGAGCATAGCTGGGTTGACCCAAAGAGAAAAAAATGCTGAGGGAGGCTAAGTAGCTTTAAGAGGTTAAGCTTTTCTGCTCTCATTTCTACTACACACAGAGGAGTAATTTCCAGGGGCTGAATATGACTCTTCAGCAAAGCACATGCCTCAGGATGTCTTAGATTTGATCCTCAGCCCCCAAACAATAGGAATTGCCAGTTCACATAAATCAACTGAAAACATTCCTTTGGTACTTAAGGTGGGCCAACCAAACTGAGCCAGGCAACATGAGATTGTCATAAAGGAGATTTACAATCAGAATTGATCAGTATTCTAAATATGTGTCATGATAGGTATTATATACTGTCCACTACTCTTGTTATTACCAACATTTTCACGGTTTTCATGAAAATCCGCTCAACAACCACTGGTATCTATTCTCATACACACTGGGTTTTGCACTGGAATACAAGCCCTAGGCTAGAGTCTGTTCTCATTCAGTAGACTATCTTATATTCTTAAGTAGTTGCTTTCTTGTTGATGAGACTTGATCACTTGATCACTTGACATCCTGTTACTCATTGATTTGCTCAAGTGGGCGCCAGTAACGTCTCCATTCATCCCTGTTGTGTGCTAGTGTAGCCCAATGGCATCTGCTCATTCTAGGAACACGAAGAGCCTCAAACTGATTATTCAAGGTCTTGACAAAGAAGTCTGACCATCTCGTAGGTGGGCGGCCACACAATCTTTTGACGTCCTGTGGAATCCAGTCGGTAATGGCTCTAGTCCAGCAGTCATCTCCAAATCACATTACGTGTCCAGCCCATCTGATTTTCGACGCCTTGGCAAACGAGACAGCGTTCGTGATTCTTGATCATTGACGGAGATCGGAACTCCGGATTCTTTCTCTCATTTGAGTGAAGCATGATACCCCAAGCATAGCTCTTTCGATTCCTCTTTGGGAGACCCAAATAATGGATGAGACATTTAGGTAAAAAGCCTGCAGGATAGTAACTCAGTGATGGAAGTATCAGGAGTACTTAGCCAGCTCTTAGAATTGGGATGACTTCATGAGAAAGATTCTGTCAGAACTGGGCTTTAAAGGGTGAGTGGACACTTGCTGGGGAAAGAGAATTTGGATTAAATAACACACTTCAGGAAACAGGAAGATAAGACCAGGGCTGATGTGCATGGGAGGACCGGGTTCAATCCCTAGCACTACAAGGAAAAGCACCGCCAGTTACCACCCAAAAAGAAAAGCAAACTGTCATTTTGAGACATGAACCAGAGGCCCAGGAAATAAAAACAAGTGGGGGTGTGTAATAAATTGGGATTAGTTCAACCTGGGATTAGCTCAGAGTTGACAGCATGTCCCATGGACTCAGGGAGTCGTGGGATGGAGAGGGGTAGTCACATCAAAGGCACCTTCTGTACCATGGGGGAACACTTGGGTTTCATTCTGTACAGTCACTGATGCAGGTGGGTAAGAAAAGGACTGATGTGCCACTTTGTATTTCACTTAGATCAGTAATTGCTGCCCGCAGAATGAATCTGAGAAGTACTTTTAGTTTGATTTGTGTCAAAGACCTTTATTCATTTAATCTGACTACTCTATTTTCTTTTTTTTTCTTTTCTTTTGGGGTCATACCCAGCGATGCACAGAGGTTGGTTGCTTCTGGCTTTGCACTCGGAATTACTTCTGGCGGTTCTTGGGCCCCATGTAGGATGCTGGGAATCAAACCCGGGTTTGTCACATGCAAGGCAAATGCCCTACCTGCTGTGCTATTGCTCCTACGAGTATTACAGTGTTGTTCTGGGAAACAATGGTGATCTCTGAAGATGTGGGCCATTAGTGTACTTGGACATCATGCCTGGTGTACTCTCAGAATAAGTGATTGGCCAAAGTTGAGCTGATAGATAAGTGCTAGGTTTGAAATATCCACGGGCTAGACGTTTCCGTATTATTAAAGACCACAGAGTTGGCAGGCAAGAGAAAGAGCCACAGAGAACTGAGAAGGCTTGAGAGGGCATGCACAAGGCCTCATGTTGGGTTCCCTGCATTGTATATCTGCTCCAGAACCACTGGGGTAGCTCCTGGATTCCTGGGCACTTCTGGGTCTGGGCAAAACTCTATCACCTGAACAAGCATTGAACCCTTTGGCCTGGACTCTTGTTGGGATAGCTCCCAACTCCCAGAGCACTGCATAGGAGAACCTCACCCCACAGCAGAAAAGAAGAAGAAGCTATAAAATGAGATATGAAGGGAAGGGGAACTTTTAGCTCCAAGATGCAATCCCTGTGTACCATTATTCCATTCCCTCCTTGATGGAATTGAATCTCAGAATTCATTAGGGGAACTGGAAGGAGAGGGGGGTGGGAGAGAGGGCGTTGTTGGGCATGCACAGGGTGGGGGTGGTTGAGGGCAAGGGATGATTTCCAGGGTAGAAGTGAAAAAACACAAATTTCATATTTAAAACGGTCTAGGTTTACATATCATAGTCTGACCTTTTAATGATAATGTAGCCTGGGGCTAATGACAAGCCCATCACTATACCTGCATTTCTCTACTATTCAAAACTGTAGCTATAACGACCTCTTAGGCCATTTTTAGTGGAAATGATTGATATGTATAACTGCACTGCACTGTCTTCCTGTTGTTCATCGATTTGTTTGAGCAGGCACCAGTAACGTCTCCATTGTGAGACTTGTTGTTACTGTTTTTGGCATATCAAATACGCATGGGTATCTTGCCAGGCTCTGCCATGCGGGCGGGATACCCTAGGTAGCTTGCCGAATTCTCTGAGAGGGACGGAGGAATCGAACCCGGGTTAGCTGTGTGCAAGGCAAACAACCTACTCGCTGTAGGTTGTTATCTATCGCTATTGATAACAAGAGAAAGAGCCACAGAGAATTGAGAATCAAACCCAAGGAATCAGCTATGGCTCCAGCACAGAGCAAAAATATTTTTACCTTGGCACTAGAATTCCATTTTAGGGGGCAGAACTAAATATAGGAATTATATATTTTTGTACAGGAGAATGTGTTCTGTCATATGTTTTTTTGTTTGGGGGGCCACACCTGGTGGTACTCAGGGCTTGTTCCTGACTCTTAACTTAGGGATCATTCCCGGTGGGGCTCGGGGTGGCCATACCTAGAGGTTATATGGGTTGCCAGGGATCAAACCTGGGTCAGCCTCAGGAAAGACAAGCACTGCACCTGCTTTGTTATCTCTCTGACCCCTGTTCTGTCACATTTTTAAAGAATTATTCTGCCTACTGTGTTGAGAATAGACTATACTGAATCAAGAGCCAAATAAAGTTTTGTTTTAGTAAAACAGATCTTGTTACTAAAAGTAATCTAATACTAAAGGTATTATCATAACTGTATTAGTCAGGGCTCTCCAGAAACAAAATCAATAGATTCCATTTGTAGGTGTGATTATGAGACCATAGGTAACACAGATGGTTATGCAGAAGTCCCACAATTGGCTATCCGAGAGCTGGAGCACCAGGAAAGCTGGTGATATGATTCTGTGTAAAGTCAAAGGTCAGACAATGATGGGGAGGGCCCTGAAGTAAGTCCCAGAGATTCAGGAGCTGTTTTTGGCTTTGGGGTTTGGAGCCACACCTAGAGGTGCTTGGGGCTCACTCCCAGCTCTGCTCTGCACTCCTGCTGGGTAGGAACCCTTCTGTCTGATTGCAGGAGACAGATGTTCCTAGAAGAATTCACTATTCTTCTACCTTTTGCTTTTGGACGGGTCATTTAATGGTTTGGATGATGCCTGCCCATATGGGCAAGAACAGATCTCTTTAACTGGTCTACTGGTTCAAGTGTCAATCTTTTCTAGAATCACTCTCACACATACCTAGAAACAGTATGTTATCAGCTTATATTCTGGTATATTCTGGTTCTGGGTATTCCTTAAGCCATTCAAGATTGATACATAAAAATGAAGTGTCATAGAAGGTAACAGAAGTGTACCTAGAGCCTGTTGGCCATTATTGAATGTTTGAATTGTTAAGTGTATTTGAATATTTTATTTGTGATGTCTAAAAGAACAATGCAAAGTTTTGCTTCCAATATTGTAAGTTCTAATTAGCATAATCTAAATCGTGATATTTTGTTTTGTAAATAAACATTTAGAAAAAAATAATTTTGATGGCTGGGTAAATTTTTTTATTGTATCTTACTAACTTCGTTTATGATGGGGAGTAGTTAAAATATGTTCATTCTTCCAGTAATTTATAAGACAATCTGTATTTCCTAAGCAAAGTTTCTATAATTATCGGACCTTTTTATATGAGCTTCAGTTTATGATTTATTTTTTACATTGTTTTGTTGTTATTGTGGGGGCTACACCCCATGGTGCTTGGGGTGGGAGAGATGACCAAATGGTGCCAGGGACTGAATCGCAGGCCTCATTCTATAAGGATGGGCTTTATTACTTGAACCTCAGCTCTAATTGAATTAAAGCTTACCTGTTCACAAAACTTGTAATACGTCTGTATGGATTATTAAAAGTCAGACTTCTGGACCCCATTCCTTGACTTTATGATTCAGAAGATCTATGATGAGGTCTGAGAATTTGTTTCAAGTAAGCGTTCAGATGTAGCTGATGCTTATGCTGTTAGGCTGAACATTGTTTGATCAAACCTAATCATATGAAGGAAAAATGTTGTAGAATTCATTCTAGAATCATTGATCCAACCCAAAATTGTGCCAAGAAGCAACATTTGGTTCCCTTAATAAAAATACAAAAAATCTGCTAAAAATAATAAGGGATTATTTTTTTAAAACCTCTATCATTTATGACTGACACATTCTATCGTACTGACTGAATGTTTATTAGAATCTCATTATTGGGGCTGTAGAGGTATAACTGTGAGTAAGGAGCTTACCTTGCATACAGTTAATTCAGGTTTGATCCCCAGCATCCTGTATGGTCCTGTGAGCCCCGCCAGGAGTGATCCCTGAGCACAGAGCCAGGATTAAGCAGTGACCACCAATGGGTGTGGTCCCTCCAAATTATTATTATTTTTGCATGCATGTTGTAAATTGAGCCCAGGTCTGTTGTAGCATGCAACCTACAAATGAGCTTCCTCCCCCCACCTCTATGAGTATTTTCATTTTTGTACTTTTTGTACAGAGAACAGATATAAACTGACATTCTCTGTAAAAAGACAAAATATTTTTTAAATTTTTTTTTCTTTTTTAGGGTCACATCTGGCAATTCACAGGGGTTACTCCTGGCTCTGCACTCAGGAATTACCCCTGGCTGTGCTCAGGGGACTATGTGGGATGCTGGGGATCAAACCTGGGTGAGCCGTGTGCAAGGCAAATGTTCTCCACATTGTACTATCTATTGCTCCAGTCCCAAAGAAAAAAGTCTTTAAACTGCAACTGTACCCTATAAATAAACTCGTACAGACTTTCTTTAGTTAAATGTCTGTACTTTTCTGGTATGTGAAAATAATTAATTCTGTTGGTAATTTATTAAAAGAATGGAATAATGTGGCAATGAATTTCCTCTCTCATGTGCTGTACTTTCATATCTTTTATTGTTACTGTTACTGTCACTGTCCTCTTGTTGTTCATTGATTTGCTCAAGCAGGCCCAGTAACGTCTCCATTGTGAGACTTGTTACTGTGTTTGGCATATCAAATACGTCACGGGTAGCTTGCCAGTCTTAGCCCTGTGGGCAAGATACTCTCAGTAGCTTGTTAGGCTCTCTGAGAGGGGCGGAAAAATTGAACCCGGCCCTACGGCTGTGCTATCACAGCAGCTCTATCTTTTATTGAGATTCCTTAAATCTAGAAGAGTTCCTATATAAAGTGGCCTAAATGATATGTCATTCACTTTGTTTTATTTTTCAGTACTGATGTTTTTTCAGAAAGAACAATGATTTCATCACTTGTCTGTTCCCCACTTATATCTCAAAGAAATGAAGGTCCTTTTGAAGACAGAGTTCCATCTTCCGATGAAACACCATTACCCCCACAATACTCTCATGGCAGTGAGAGGAAATACCACATAAGTCACGTTAGTGAAAGTCTTGTGTCATCCACACAAAGGAGTAACTCATCTCTGTCAATGATTCATTCAGATATAAAAAAGATTTTCCTGAGCCATCAACACCATCCAGAAAAGGAAGACGAACCAGTACGGTTTTCATCAAATAAATTGTTTTCAATAATGAAAACCAAAAATCCCAATACTTTAATGTATTCTTCTAACTATAGATGGACAAAGACCTCTACAGTTAGTCAAGAAAGTGAAACTCCTGAGGTGGCCTCGTGCTCTTTTGTTCATTTATTTCTCACTAGAGACCAAATTAGTCTTCTGGAAGAAAATGTGAGAAATCAAATTTCTTTCAAATCCAAAGTGACCCTTAAGGGTAAAATTTCTTTTCTGCTCCCCAAATCTCAAGAATCATTGATTCAGAAACAACATTCTGTTCATGTGGATACTTTGGTCCAAGCACAAGATTCTTTCCCTGGACAAAAGACTATTAGGAATCAAAGCTTTTATGAAGCCAAATTAACTTGTCAGGGGCAACAGTTTGTTTACGACCAAGAATCAATCGGTAGCCAGCATGACACAGAAGCCAAATGCTTGGTTCTGCCACAAGATGTGAAAAGAAACCCATTTTGTAGCAGCATGCAAGAGTCCACTCGGGCCCAAGATGTAGACAGGAGCCTACATTTGACTGATACCTCATGTTCTGTTGAGTTTCAAGATTTGATCGAGACCCTAGAATCTAATAAACACTTAGATGAGGCTCAATCCTATATTTGTTTCCAAGATTCAAACAAAATTAAAGAATCAACTCAGAATCAAGCTACTAGGTACAAGAATTCCAGGCATCTGGTTTCTGCTGTAATGCCATATTTGGTTGCCAAAGAAACACCACGACTAAAGAGCATGAAGAAAAAGGACCAACCACAAATTGCTTCATCAAAATTAAGGCAGTATTCTCCATATGACTCGTTACCTCTTTTTCCTACCATTAAAAAACAGAAAAGGAAAGCCGTATCAAGTATAGCTCTGTGTCTTATTTATATTTCCAGGCCAGTTCTTCCTTATATTAAGAAGTATTCCAAAAGAAATCTAGTGAAAGTTGTGCTAGGCTTAATGGTATGTAAAGATTTTTTTCTAAAGCAAAATAAGTCACCAGATGTAGAAAAACACTCTATTGAGAAAAGAAGAGTCTCATGCAATACTGTTAATATAAAGCGGCTTCACAGAAATAAAAAGGGACTAAAGAACATTTCACCAAAAGGTTCACTTAAGCTAGAACAATCTCTCATGGACAATACTCAACGAAGTGCAACTTGTTCTGCAAATTGGAATGATCAAGAGTCTTTGAAAGACCCACTTCCACAAGCAATCAAAATTGATATTGCAGAGTTTTGTGTCCCAAGTAGTAAAACAACATCTGGTCAGCATGATCTAGAATATGAGACATTTTTTAATGGAATTATATCACGACTGATGCAGAAATTGATTTCCTCTTTCAAAATGGAATCAAACAGAAGACTGAAAACAATGAAGATGTTAAAAAGTTCAGAAAATTCCCATCTTCTAGTCTCAAGTGGAGAAAAGGTACCAATCAGTAAGCCAGATATAGAAACGAGCTTTCCAAAGGGGAATATACAAAATGACTTTATGAAAACTGCTCTGAAATCTATAGATATCAATTCATTCTTTTCACTAGGAACCCAAAAGCATGGAAGTTGTGAGCAATTAGAATGTGTAAAAAGTGAAGAAAGTACAGAAGATAAGATTTTGAAGGAAAAGATACCATCCATACTTAATATTACAGAATATGGTAACCAGAATTATGGAATAAGTGATAGTGAAGAAATGGAATGTCAACCTAGAAGCAACATAAAAAATACACAAAGTGATGCATTTCACAGCATTCCTTATTCTATTTCTGAACTTCCTGCTTTGGAAATGGAGAACAGATTAAAAGCCAAGACAGATATATTAAGAATAACAGGGCTCAGTCTTTTAGCAAGGAGGCAAGAAGAAAACCCAAATGAAAAGAAAACAAACATGGAGGAAAGATATAGATTTGAGATGCCCCAATTACTTGACAAAGAGGAAGAAGCACAAGAAACTGATTTATTCTGTGGTGGAGAAGAAAAAGTACAAGCTGGAGAGGAAGGGTTGCAAAACTCTGCTGTACAGCATCCTTCATGCCTTCCGCTCTATCTAGAGGAGAGCCGTCAAAATACATCAGATCTGGAACTGAGCTGTTTTGCACAGGGGCTGCTTATTGATGATCAAGATGCTCCACATCAGATCCAAAACTTCCCGTTGGGCTTGCAAGTCCAGCAGACGACCAAATGTGTCCAATCTGAAGCACAGCAGAGCGGTGTAGGAAAGAGGAAAAATCAAGAGAAAGAACCAGAGGCCAAACTACAAACTCCTCAAACACAAATAACTTGGGGGACTTGTCCATGCCCCACGAAGGGGTCCAGCCAAGATGGGAATGTGAAGCAATGCATAGAGACGCCAAGGAAGAGAAAAAGCACAGATCCAAAGAATCCTGTTGCTATGTTGGAGAATATACCGATTGGTGAAGCTTCCCGTGGAACCACAAAATGTGGTCCCCCGGTTGGTAGGGACCCTAGAAATATTGCAGGTGTTGCGAGAGAAAAGGAAGTGTTAAACAGAGCTTTGTCCAAAGTTGTTCTGGGGTCTTTCATTAACCATCTTCTTATGTCACCATATTTGAAGAGCCAAGAAACCCAAAAAGTATTACCAAGAAGGCCAAAACTACTTAAACCCAAATATGTAACTAGGAGCGATAGCACAGCGGTAGGGCGTTTGCCTTGCGTGAAAGCAAAAGTGCCAGAAATTTCACTAAGACCAGATAGCCATAGACATGGCTTGCCAAATCACAGAGAAAGACCAAGAGGCAATGAAAACATCTTAGAACAGATACTGCAATATAAGAACACAGATCGGCTTCTCAATGTTATTTACCCTCACAAGGTTACTTTACCTCATATTCACAGACACAGCAGGTTAAATGAAGAAACGCTCAGTCACATGGGTTCAAACCAAGAGAAATCATTAGTTGATGAGGAAGGAAAATGCTCAGATTTCATAAACATAGGAAGTAATTTTAAAAGGTCACTAGCAACTAAGTTGCAAGATGGAGTGAAAGGGGATGAAGAAGCAGATCCAACAGAAGTCCTTCAAAAGAGTTTGAACCTGAGAGTGAATTCAGATCTAAAAAAGAAACTTAAAACAAAAAAAGAACTTCCTCAACCAACTCCTTCTGCAGAAATTCTTACCAGGCCTGTTTGTTCTGACCCCACCGATTCGGCAGAGGTTGAAAATATGAAGGGATGCTTAATGGTAGAAAACCACTTCAAAGCCTCAGTGGGTATGGGGATGACTCCTCTGACGTCCAGCAAACAACTGTGGACTTTAAATCAAACAAGAAAAGGTGGACTTAAATGTTCTAGAAGTGACACAGAGAAAATGAGTTGCTCTTCTTTATCAACAAAGGTAGACTTACCAGAACAAGAACTAGATTCTTTTTCAGAAACTTCAGATTACTGCATGCCTGCTTTACCTTGTTCAAAAGTGATGACTAAGAAAGTACGATTTTTGCTTACAGAGTGTAATAAGGGGGCCAAGTCTATAGAAGAGAAGCCAACACACCTGCCAAAGTTTAGCACTCTAGCTGGAAAGAATTCAGAACTCAACCTGAAGACTAGGTATGAAAAGGTCAACCAAGTAAATGAACCAGCCTATGAATTTCTAAATCTACTTTTCTCTCCCAGGCCTAGCCGATTGCAAGGAGACTCAGACAGATCCCATCATATTCCATTACAGCAACGAGGACAGGTAGATGAAGGAAAGCCAGGGTATGTTGATTTTTTTCTTCAGGGTGATGCAATCAATGACAGAGAAGAAAAGGTATGGGCTGGAGAGGAAGAAGGGGGAAAGCCTGGTTCAGAAGCAGCTCCACATGGCCCCCCAGACATTCAGCTCAATATGAATAGTCAGCTAGAGAATGACCCTAATACAGCAGAGCCAGAACCAGGCTCTTTAGCATGGAAGCTGCCCAGTAAGAAGCATGATGTGCAGAACCACACACAGTGGACACAGAATGCTCTAGAGAGCGTCCCGGTGACTCCTAGAGCACCTACAGGACCCCAAGCAACCAAGACAGAAAATCACCTACTGGTCTCTAAGAATATAAAGATCCCACTTCCCATGCCAGGGAATGATGCGTCATTTGATAAGGGTTTAAACCCAACCATGGAGAATGGATCACCAGCTGGTGAAAAACCTGAAAGAAACCTCACTTTTAATTTTCTCCCGAGAAATCCAGAGTTATCAAATGATTTGCAAGTGCCACTCCTGCAGTCTCCTGCCAATGATTTGAAATATAATCAAAAGATAAATATATTGAAATTAACAAGGAAGCAAATGTTCCTAAGACCAGGATATAGAACTCTGAGGGCATTGACTTCATACATGTCTGAGTGCAGCGGGAGCAAAGAACTGCCAGGCAATTTTAAAAGGAAGTCAAGAAATTTAGAGCGAAGGGAAAAGATAGCAAATGTCTTTTCAGATATAATTCACTCTGAGGCTCCTGTTTTGTTTAACATCAGAATGAATAGTAAGTTCAGTTTGGAGACAAACAGACAAAAGACAGACACAAGTTGTGATCATATGCAGCAAACGCAAGAGACATCGCCAAATGGAAAGAGAATATGTGACCCAGATTCCGTTGGTCTGAGCGGTTTTTCTAAAAGTTTGGAGGATAAGAAGCAGATTGAAGAAAATAAAACATTAGTGACTCTAGATAATCGCCAGGGCTTCTTATTTGATGCATATCAGAAGGATCATGACCTTATTAAACTACACAAGGAAGCAAGACAACTGCAAAGTACGAGTATTGCAGTGGAACAAGAAACACATCTTACACAAACTATTTTGCATTCTGTTTCATGCCCCATATTGTATCAATTTCCACTTGAAAATATGGAGAGCCAAGATGGGTTGTTACCTCCAAAGTCAGAGGAAGCACAGATGAATGAAATTGTATTTTCCTCCGACGAACAACATGATCTTCCATCTGATGCCAATGATCCAAAAGAGCAAGCTGGTAGTATTCAAAAGGAAAATACAACATCTTTTCATTTATCCAGGCCTGCTTTATCTGCAACCAAAAGAAAAAGAAACTTCAAACGAAATTCAGACATGAACATTTTAGCAAATCTCAGATGTGGAATTACAAAAGTGAAGAAGTCATCCATGCTCCATGTTCATGGTGCTAGTACCATGAAACATAGAGGGAAACTGAGATGTAGCTTTGAATCCAAAATGAAAGTCACTCTAGGTATAAACATGTCAGATACAGTGGATACCCTTGTGTCTGTTACACCTAATATTAGTATACATAACAAAATAGACAAAGGAGAAAAGAACCTCAGTTTTAAACACATCAGGGAGGAAGTTTCACCACTGGATCAGGATCTGGCCTCATATTCCATCAGTTTTCAAGAGGGAGAGGAAGAAGAGAGTGAAAAGAGAGTATTTAATAAAATTCAACAGTTCACCTTCCAGTCAGGGCAGAGGAAGACGTCTGACCTTGACAGGTCAAAAGACCAAGGAAGTGAGAAAATTCTATTTATCATAGAAAAAGTCATCTCACAAGTACAGTCTGTAGAACGCGTGCCGGTGCAAGAGTCAGAGACGAAGCATGAGATACCAAATGACATGATATGTTCAGAGAGTTCCAAGTTTCCTCTGCTACTGTCAAAGAAACCATCAGTGGGTGAGGTTTTAATTGGGGCAGATAAAAACAGTCTCCTAAGTGGCAGGAGTCTTGCAGGGGAAGAGGCTAGTTACGATAATGAAGAAAAAGAAGAATTTAAAAGGGATCAACAGACAACCATGCTAGAGTCCTCGGATATCTCCACCTTGGGCCTGTTTGAATCTAAAAAGGAGACATTAACACATAGAACCCTGAGAAGTGAAAAGAGTTCTAGACGTGTAATTTTGAAGACAAAAAAGGCACCCATATCATGGATATTTAATATTCCTCACAATGATTATCTAAAAAACCTACTTCCAAAGACCCTGGTGTCACAGAGTTCTGACTTTTTCGGTTATGTCAAATACTCCGGATTACTTGAAGAGCTTACTACTGAGAAAAAGATTGAAAGGTTACTGCACCAAAAACCAAAAAAGATTATAGCATCTTTGGATTTACCCATTCTTTCTGCACCTGAACTGAAAAGAAAAAGATACGACTTAAAACATATTATTAGGAGAAAGAAAGTGAATCCAAAATACATACTCCTGAAGACAAAGAAGGTACCCATTTCCCAGACATTTAATACTACAAAACGGGGTGCACCAAGCCACACAATGCAATTAAAATGCAACTTCAAAGCCATGTTGAACCAAGGTAAACCCAAGCTAGATATCATCCTAGATGTCCTTTTTTCTGCCGTACCTATTTCCTCTGATAATCAAGTGAAAACAGAGACAGACATAGTGGAGAAATCAAAATCCAGTTCATTCCTGCCTCAGCAGGAGCGAAGTCCGAATGGAGAGGGAACCCCTGGGACTGATTTCAGGGGAAAAAAGGCCAGTGCACCCGAGGACAGGAAGGAGGCTGAAAAGCACACTGGAGAGGTAGCTCCCCAGAATGATCACCCCTTCGACTTAAATAAAATTGAAGCAAATGTGCCTCATTCAGTGAAATCGGGTCTAGACTTGAAAGACACACTTCTTAGAAAATCTGAAAGAAGTACATGTCCAAAAGCAGTGAGAACAATGCTGGATGATTTTTCCATTGCTGAAATAGACCAGAGTGCTCCATCTGACAGGGACTCCATAAGGACATTAGATGCCCACAGTGATGTTTCCTCACAACTTGAAGATGTCGACAGAAACATAAAAACTCAAAACGTGTTCAAGACAGATAACCAAGACACCTCGTATACTGCATCACTGAACTTTATATATACAGATCCTTGGAGTGAAAGCTCTGGGAACAGAGTGGGTGGTCATTTTGCCGATAGATATAAAGAGTTGCAAAGAGAGAAATTAACAATATTGATAATGTCTAAGTCATCTAAGTCTAAAAGGCATAAAAAGCCATTAAAATTTCTAGAAAGGAAAGATCTGATGGGTGTCAGATGTAAAATTAGAAAGGCCAAGATGCCTCTTTTTTCACAGATGCTTACTGAGTCTAGACATTTGGATGGCAGGAAAACACGGGAAAACAATTCAAGACCTATGAGAAAAGGCATGCCAGGAAAGCAAAGGACAGCTCATGAATTTTCATTTCTCCCACTAACTTCGATTGCAAACAAGTTATGTATTACATTATACAAAACATTAAAAATGGAGCGAGATAAACTAAGAGTAGAAAGAGGCAACTATACACATAGAGAACTAGATAAATTGTGTGATAGAGGAGCTTTGAAGGCCAATTCAACAGAACTACAAAACAGATCCAGCAACACAATGGAAATTAATGGACAACAGAAAAAAGAAGAGGAAAACACCCCTAAATTGTCATCAGTTCCACACTATGTCCAACATTTTAAGTCTGGAGTCCTTTGTGGAACAAATCCTGGTCCTTGCAAGTTGGAATCTGAACAGAGTAGTCCAGAAGGGAGAAATACTTGGGATTTATCTTGTCTGGTGGAAAAAGTGAAGCAAGAACAGAGCATTAGGGAAACTATTTTGAAATCTGTTTCTAGATATCTCACGGATTTTTCTCAAGTTGAAAGAATGAGAAAGCATCCTCAAAAGGGAAGAGAAGCTGTGGCAAGTCTAAAGATTCCATTTCCGGGAGAGCGGGAGCCAGAGACTGATTCAGTGCATGAGACTCCTGAAGACGGAGATTCTGGGAAGAAATCGGATCGTCATACTTTTAAAAAAGAGACATGGATTGAAAATGAGTTAAGAATGGCCTTAAAATCTTCGGGTTTCTCAGGCTTTCACTTATCTAAACCCAGAAGCCAACCTGCTGTGCTATCTCTCCAGCCATTAGAATTTAGAGACGAGAAAACTATGATTCCAAAACATGCAAGTTTGAAGGCAGAACAGAAACTACCAGTTTCACAGTTGCCTGATATCACAAGATATTTTACAGGAAGCCATTGCAAAGTAAAGCAGCAAAAGAATGAACGTGCAAGAAAGGCTTCACTCTGTGCCACTGAGAGAGAGGAGATCCCACCATCCAGATTAGTGAGTGATAAACTTCCATCCCATATGACAGCTGGGGACACTCAATGTAAGAGAACACTTCATAAAACCCCAGATGATTGTCTCACAGGTGAGAAGGCAGAGTTAGGAGAAAATTCAGCAACAGCTCTCTTGGAGCCTTTAGATTGCTACACAACAGTCTTATCTGACTCTGAAAGTCAAGTATCAGAGAATAAAATGATGTTAGATCCCATACATTTAACCATGAAGAAAAAGGAGCCATCAATTTCACATATGCTTAATGGTAAATTAGCCTCTAAACATAGGAAAAATCGTGAGTCCCATTTAGAAACCAGTATGAAAGTGATGAAGATAGTTAAAGATGTGGTTGATCCCATTGTAAAATCCATTTGCTCAGCGCTGGATGTGGTTGATACAGCAGTCCAAAGCAAGTTGCACATAGAGGAGGTTAGAACAACAAACTGTCTTGTACAGCCAGCAAAAATAGAATTTCCAGTGGAAAGACTATTATGTTCACAGTCATCTAATGAGACAGATCCTGCTACTTTAAGCATTACTATGGAACAGAAACAGAGGGTAGACATAGTGAGAGCTAGAACGGCATTAAATGCATACCTACCATCAACACAAACCCCTGTGCCTATTACACTGCACACAGAAATGAACCAATCATCTGGTTCCTGGGATATCTGTGAAGAATCTTCTGGAAAGAGAAGTTCCCCACATAAAGCAGAAGTTGGGGAGAAAGAGTGTGATGATCAGGTTTTGTTTAGAACAACTGTACAATGTGATACCCAACCATTTGAATCTGGAGCAGATGGAGGGAGAGATATAGGTCCTTTCAAATTGGAAGCATCCTCCATCTATATAGTATGCCCCAAGGACAATGTCACTCCTCAAAGAATGGACATTGATCTAGCAGAGCAAGAAGCAAACACAGAAATTGAAGAAGATCTTGGTCTGGGGGCTGCTCCGTTCTCTGAGATACACCTACTTGAGATTAGAGGGTGGAAGAAAACAGATAAATCTGAAAGCTGGAAAAGACTGACAGACCCTAAGATTACCATTCCAAAGGCAAAGGAATCATTACCTGGTACACATTTTAGTAACACAACAGAGTTTTATGGTTTGTTACAGCCAAGAGAAGTAAAAGAGGTAACAGGGCAAAGTATGTGTTTCAATGTTTGGAGTTCAATGACAGACAAAACATCAAGAAAATATATTCCTGTGGAACATGTTTCATGTACAGAAGGAACTGGCTCACTTATAACAGGAGAGGGAGACCAGCCAGAAAAATGTAGCTCTGAAGCCATTGCAAAGCCAGTTTCTCACTCCACAGTAGACAGACTTCAAATCAGTATCCCATGGAAGCAAGTAAAATCACATGTCATCGATATGTCATACTGTGAATATTCAACTCCACTGGCTGAAAAAGCAAGAAGGGTAACGGACACTCCACTTGGGTCTACAAAAAGTAATAAAAAACGACAAAGCCTAAGGAGCGAAGGACAGAACCAGCAGCAGCCCCTATTGGTTCCCCATGAGGACTCTCTGGAGCACTCCCAAAATGTTTCCTGGATCCTGCAACAGATAATGTATCCTATAAAGGAAGCATTATCGAAGGTAATCAGTGAGCCAAGGAGGACAAGTAGGTCAGGCTTATTTCTGAAAAACCAAACGAAGAGAGAATATAGTTCTGGAATGAAAAGGACTGGACACTGGACTCCTTCAGAGCAGATAAAACAAAACACAGGGCTGTATTTAGGATCAGACAGCAAAACTTCAAACTGTAAGAATGTTTTATTACCAGAAGAGAAAAAATCATTGGACAGAGTCCAGGTGGTTATTTCATTATTGAATGGCAGCAACCCTATGCAAAAAATTAGGAAGAAAAGGCAATTGTGTAAGGTATATAGAAAAGTACAAAAAGAAATAGATCTACCTAGAATATTTTCATACTCTCTTTCTATCCAAAGTCCAATTTTTCCCAAAAGAAAAAGACAGAAATATAAAATAAGACAAAGACTTAATCAAGATGTAATATGTTTCAGAAGGAGAATTTTGAAGCTGAAGGGAACAGAACTTCTACATCTTTTCCATTATACTGACCCTGGAACCCATAACAACAGGCTAGACCTGCAATGGAACATAACAGAGGAGACGGTAAACATGGAGCACAGAAAGGTTAAACCTGATTTTATTGGGGCAAATGTGTGTAACTTTATCCATTCTTCACCTCACCTCAAGTCAAATCAAGAAACTGTTGATGAGATCATCTCAAATAATGAAGGAGAAACACAGACACATCTACTGGTGAAAAAGAAAGATAGAGTAAGAGAATTCAATATGGGAGGGGTAAAGAATATCAAAGCTATTTTGAAGACAGGGAAATTATCAGTGTCACAACACAATGGAAAGCATTTGCCCATGCTATTGAACACTATAAAGCAAGAGGGCACAAGACAGGGAGGGGAATATCCATCAGGAGTAAAACCAACAAACATGTGTCCATCCTTCCCACTTCTGTCATATTCCAATTTGAATTCAAGGATACCAGAAGGAGAAAAGTCAGGAATACCAAGGATTTGCCTTCCACCACTCACTTTACAGGCATTTGGTAGCACCAGGCCAACATCATCTGTAGAATCCACTAATAGAGGTGATTTGGGTAATGGAATAAAATCAAGACATTACTTCTCACATGGAAAAATGGAAAATATACCAAAAATGAATGATATAATGGGTCTCAAATGTATTGTTTTTAAAGGAAATAGAACACCTTTCAAACGCCTACTTTTTGGAAAAGAACCCCAGAGAATCAACAAAGAAAATAATAAATTAATGCAGAAAGATAAAAATAACCTAGATATTTGGCATAAACCCCATACTTACATTTCTTCACCATACATGGAGTGGGATCCAGCAATAAGAGAAGTACATGTGCAAGGAATAATGAGATCCAGCCATCCAACAGTAACACTCCAGGATGTTGTATTAGCTACAATGGGAATATGTGAGAAGCCAACTAACAATATTGTAAGCAGAATGAAAAAAGAGGACCATGTGTCACAGAAAGATGAAAGAACAGTGGAAAAGACTTTGGAAGAAATTAGTCCTCTAGATAGTATAGCCAAGGAGACAATGTCTCCTATTACACAGGGATCAGAGTTGATCAAGGAGAAAGAGAAAAAGATGCTGAGAAATCCAGATAAAGTTGAGGTTATGGAAGAAACATGTGCTTCCACATCTTTTCCACATTACACTGAAGTGGATAAAAGAACAAATGAAGAAGTCATTATTGTAAATACAATATCCTCTTTCCTGTGTCCAAAACTCCAGTATGAATTAAAGACCCCCAAAATAACCTTTTTAAAGTCTATCAGTGATGACAGGTCAACTAGTGTACAAAACACCAACAGACACATAATTTTGGAATATGAGAGAGAAAAGATATCAAAATCCATACTTGGGAAGAAAAAGACAACAGCAACTTCACGCGAGAGCCAATTGGCTTTCCAAGAACAAGAGAAAAGGAAAGAAAAAATTAAGAGTGAAGCTAGTGTGGTTTTGAGCAATAGCACTTTTGTACCTACCCCTTCTCATGTGGAATCATACACACAAACAAGAAAGTCAGACTTTCTCATTGATTTAGCAAGATCCCCTCTTCCAAAACCATCAGAGAGGAAGTCATTCACAGCAGTGAAAAAAACAAGTAACAAGTCCACTCAGGCTAGAATTGTTGATCATGTCCGAGAAGTAAAATCATGTCAGCTGCAGGAGGAAGAAAATATAAATATACAAGCCGAGGAAGACATAGAATACACAAAGGATAAAGGCAGCAAAGCACTTTTCCAGCACAAACCATTGAAGCTTCAAGAGCACGGAAGAGGAGATTCAACAAGTGGAAAATATACAAGAAACAGTGGAAAGAGTAAAGATGAAGAGGAACTAACTCTGACCACACAGAGTTCTGATTCTCTTGAAAGTGATCATGAATTGGACATGAAAGAAGATGATGTTCAGGAAATAACAGGATGTGATATTTCACAAGCATGGCTACAGACATCATTTGATGCAGGGAGGACCCTGCATGCAAAGTCAAATGGGGATGATATCTCGGAAGGTGTCAAAAGAACACAACAGCACAAGCCACAGAATGGAGATGATGGAGGAGAGGACACAGTAGCTATGAGCTATCTAATGTACTCCAAAGGTGCCATTTCCAAGGCAAGTACTTTCTCACTTCCACAGGTGCTGGCTACCTCTGGTCATTGTTGTACCCAAGTTACAGAACAGACAAAAATAAAAGATCAATTGGGATATTCCCAAGAAAGAAGAATGGAACCAGATGAGGTTCTAAATGAAGCTTTCCTACCTCAAATTAAAACAACCAACAAGGACAGAGGACCAATAGGCTATCTCCAACCTTCCTGGCACAGGGGCACAGTTGCAGACCAGCTAGCAAATACAGTGTCAGCATTGGATGATGTCCCAGGCTGTTCACACAAGGTCAAAACCATTACCCAGAAAGAAACAGATAAAGTGTGTATTTTGGATAAAGACCAGATGGATTTTAGGTATCCAGGAAAAAAGACATCTCTTGTCTCCATTTTAGCAAAGGTTCTGCAAGCGAATTTAGTGAAAGGGGCGGTACTATACAGCAGGAGAAAAGGTGTGTTTCAGAACAAATGCTGTTCTGTTCTCACATCTTCCACTCATCTTCAGTTTACCCTAGAAGAAGAAGGTGCATCAGGAACAGGAATCCTGATGCCACCCCTCGATAACAAGGGGCCATTCTCTTGGAAAATGTTAGAGCCTGTTGATAAATCTGCAAAGGAAGGAGAATCACACCATCCAGAGAAAGGGGTGGCTAGAAGAGAAGCCAACACTAGCCATGGGCTATCCAAAAGTATAGATCTCCAGGCAAAGGCATCCCCTCTCCTTCCTGAATATGACGTTGCTGCACAGGGCCCTCTGAGCAGAAGAAACAGATTTGAGGTTGGAACTGAAGAGAATGCCAAACTAGAGAAGCACATAGCCAGTGATGGGAGTGATATGACTCTGACCAAGCCCTGTGCCTCTCAACATAGGTCAAATACAAGAATAGAGGGAGACCAAGACCCGTTGGCAAACACAGGATTTATTTCTCAATTGCAATTCCATACGCTCCCAAGCTCAGGGAAAATAAGAAATTCAGATTCCCCTGGAGGCATTGACTTGTGCTTTTCAATGAGAAAAACTGGTCACTCTGTGCTACATGAAAAGGCCGAGGAAAGAGTAAAAACAGGCAAGAAGGAAAGGCTGTTCACCCAAGCATTGACTTGGAGAGCAGAGACCTGCCCACTTGGGCATCTACCTGGCAAAAAGATGTCATCTTTGAATGATGCATGGGAAAGGAGAGAAGGGCAGGAAGGCCAAGGCAAGCCACAAGTGGTTCAGAAGGGAACTTTTGCTCCCTTTCCTGCTCATTCTTCCCTGAACGGGAACATGGGGAGGAGGAAAAAGAAAGACCCACTTGATAGAACAAAACGCTCCCCTCCACCATTCAAGAGACAGGAACTAGGCAAGTCAGACAACAAAGTATGTACTAAGTCATTGGTTGATTGTAGGTTAATGAATAAGATGAATAAGACTGAGAAAATGGCCCACAAATGTATGGATCCCAAGGCAAAGAAATCATCCCGGGCACGCAGACTAAATTCCAGGAAAATGCAATGGAAAATTAAAGAGCTTGAGCGAATGGTGCAGGAAAATAAAAATGATCTAGTTGTGGGTCTGAAGAACATTTGTAGTACGTTAGTTACTCTACCACATGTTGAGTTGGGCAATTCAGAAGAAGAAGGATATATGATCAGAATTACAAAATATCTGCAACCACCTCATCTGAGAATTGTGGAATTCTCAGATATAGCCAAAATAGCACATGTCAGAACAATGCATGAGGAGCCTTGCAGTTCTTTAAAAGAATTCAAAGAACCCACATTACAGAAGTACAGCCAGGCTAGAAAGGAAAACGTGGCCATGAATACTATGATGGATTCCAAAGAAATGTGTCTGAAAAGCAAGAAAGCACTTATGTTACCGAGAAGCAGTCAAAACAACTTTCAGAAAACTGAAGAGCAAGAGAGGAAGATTCCAGAAGGTCAATGGGAAGTGAGTGATGCTAGGTGGACTAGCCTCTACGCTCCCAAACCTCCCTCACTCCCCGTGAAGGTGGATACTGTAAACATGGGAGAAAGCATAGAAATAGTGACAAGATTCTCTGTAGCCACAGTCAAAGTCAAAGAGTCATTAGATTCTAAGGAGCCGATGCACATAGTGCCAATGAGTATTGATATTTTAATCCATCCGCAGATGGGAGCACAAGGTTTGGCACTGGGTGAGCCAGGGGAGAGAACAGAATTAGGCCCCCTCCTGTGCTCCAAACACCAAGAAGAGAAGATACGAGAAAGTGGAGCCAAATCAGGAGAGGTTCTGACCGAGTCTTCTCTTCCAGCATTCTCCATTTCCACTCGTGACTTGGATAACAAAGGACAAGAAGACAGCATGTTCGTACATACAAAGACTGCCGTGCAGAGAATCTCCAGTGTGAAGGAAAGGCCGCCTACAGAGCCCATTAGTCCCAGTAGTTTGAAAGATGTTCAAACTGAGGAGGAACAGAAAGCTCAGGAAAGAAAGAGCAGCCAAGAAAGAACAGCAGAGGAGAACGGCAAGATGCTCTCCGCCCAAATGGCCTGGAAGTCAAGGACTTCACAGCATCCCAGTGTACGTCACAGAACAGAGATGCATCTCAACATTGGAGGGAGAAAGCAAAGGAGTTGTGAGGATGAAAATCAATCATGCAATAAGCTGCAAAGAAAAATCTATGTTTCCCAGCCTCCCCTGAAGAATCTTAATTTGGATAAAGGTACACAGATTGATGCAGGAATGCTTGGTATTCAAAGACCCTCTGTACAGCCCATAGTGCTCTTGACATTATCAAGCAGAGAGAAAACACAAGCTGCAGAAGAAAAAGGTGATGGTGGAAGAAAAAATGAACCATGCAAGTTCCAGAAAGAAAAGCACGAAGTGAATTTGAGGGTCAAGATGCAACCCAACTTTCCCAGGGGTTTGCCAATTTCACAGATACTTGATTCAAAGGAATTTGTCTTGAATATCATAGAGCAGAAGAAAAATTTTCCTGGGGATCGAGATGACCAGTGTGTGGCTCTCACAAGGACCCTTATTTCCACCCCAAAAGAGCCTACCTTTTATTTGGATCAAAGGAACAGAACTGATGAAGTCCCAGCAAAGACAAGGGCCTGTCTCCCAAGGTACACGCTCCAGAAATCACCAGCTACCCAGAAAAGGGCTACTGGAAAGTCAGTTGAGAGAGAAGGTACCATGGTGGTTAAAAAAGCACAACACCCGCAAACAAGACAAGAGGCAGCAGGGCCCGGGGTCTCCCACTTCACCATCAGCATGCAGGGAAAGAGCCTCCCACAAGTGAAGCCCGAAGGAAAATTGAACCACTTAGCTTTAAATCCAGAGGGTCTTTCTTTCACAGGATGTGGTACTATCAGAAGTGAGGAAAGTATAGAACATTTTGAAATTATTCCAAAGTCAAAGGATCCATCAGAAGCATACAAAACACCAGCTTCTACTGTACTTCTTTCCTATCCCACAAGGAAGCCAGTGACAACAGAAAATTGGAAGAAGGAACTGGAAATAAAGGGTACCTTCAACCAAAAAATAAACCCAAAGCTTCTCTTCTCATCTGTAAGAAAAATGCCCTTGGAGATATGTATCACATGTGACACTCCTGCAAGTGCCAAGAGCTTTTCTCCTTTGGAAGATGAAGCACAAGATCCTTTATCCAAAGCATCTCCGGGCTCTGCAAAATCATGTCAACATGATGAGACAAAAAAAGATCTACAAAGTTATTATCAAATAAACAAAATGATACACCCATGGACAGGAGGATCACTTGATAAAACAAGTATAACAGGCTCAAATATCCCCTCAAATATGGACAACCATGTCGCTACACCAATACGAAGAGGGTTGCCCCATGAGAGGGATGCCAAGACCACACTGGGCTCTGGTCTTTATCTGAAGTTTCCACTTCAACATGGGAAGCAGATGACACTCTCAACAATGACCGTAGACATGGGAATTGCAGGGTACCCCAGATGTCAAAAACTATCAGGCACACACACGACCGTTGCAGCGTTTGATGCCCACAGAAGAAATGACCAGCTGATTCAGTTAGTTCCAGGACTAAAGCAATTCATTCTCCAATCTCTACAGACTTCTCTTTGCCCATGCTGGAGTCTTCCACTTGGTCCTGCATATCTGGAGGAGGGAAATGAAAGGAAGAAAGGAGAGAACTTCAGAAAGGACAGAAGCAACACCACGAAACAGAAAGCTCTGCCCGGGAAGGCCCCAAGCCGCCTAATCCCACAAAAGGAACGTAAAAAAGAACCAAAGGCACCTAATGCAAGACAAACCATTCAGCCACAAAAACCGTCGACGAAACATGGTTTTGTGAACCACTCACAATATCCCACTATTCCTCATGCTCCCAATTGCAATGACCAGGAAGGCAGATTAACAATAGTACCTATGAAAAGAGAATCAACGCCCCAATGTCTAACTATGAAAATCCGAAACCATCCGATTTTACAGCTTCTTGGCAATGTAGAGGAGCTGGAGTTTCATTCTATTGAGCCCAAGGAGATTACTCTGTGGGATGAAAATGGCACTGAAATGTACCTTGGAAACCTCTATCTTTCCAGGGTACTTGTACCTAAGGCAGAAGAAGCAACTCCAGTGGAGAGACACCAAGAAAGAGAAAAAGAGAGTTGTCCCCTGGAACCCCAGAAGTCACAGGGCATAAGCCACGCGGTGTGGAGTGTCTGGTCCACAGGAGACCACAAGTTGCTTAACATGCTTCCCGGGGCTTCCCAGCCCCTGGGGGTGCAACCACAAGATGCACACAACGGTCCTGGGGTCACCTCAAGAGCAGACTGCAGCAGGTGGGGGGGTGAAGTCCTTCCAGCACTACACAAAGAAGATAGGGCAGTTCTAGGCCATGGTGCCTCGAGGCTCTACAAGGACCCCAACTGCCTTGTGCTACAGCAAGAAGAAGCAGCAGCAGCCAAAGCTCCCCCTGCTGCCACAGTGCCCCTGTCCACGTGTGAAGAGCCGAAGGAAGCCATGGAAACGCAGGTGACACATGGGCATTTTCCTCCCACAGGAGCAGCAGAAACACAATGTGGCACTCAGTCCGGCCACACCCTGCTCAAGCCCCAGGGACAGTACAGTTCCAGACAGGACACACAGCCTCAAAAACCCTCGGCAGGGGCCGTGGCCCTCCCCTTCCTCCATGTTGAAAGGGAAGCAAGAACTTTAGTTGGCTGGGGACGTCAAGAAGATAACTCACTTCGTATCATTCAGTCCATTATAAATTCTCTGGAATCCCACACAACAAAAACTATCCAAGACGGAGCTCTTCCTCATCCCAAAGCAAGAGACGCCTGTCAAGCCAGTGCTTGGAAGCCACGCTCTTGGACAGGGCGTCCCGACACAATCTCCCCGTCGGAAGCCAGGTCGCAGGCCCAGTCCATCTCAGAACGTTTCACCCCCGAAGGAGAAATGAACCTCCAGAGACACTTGGAGTGTAAGGCCCGGGAGATCTGTCTGAGTCCAATCCCAGGGATCGTAATGCAGTCCCGGAAACAGCACGCCTTGGGTCCGAAAGAGGAGGCGGCTTCCCCAGGCGTCCAAGGGGGCAGCACTCCCCCACACAGGAGGGTGTGTTGCCTGAGCGTCAACCGCACGGACACCATCGAGTTGAACCTCACGCACCAAGGCCCGAGAGGCACAGCTCCAGGCAGCCCCTTGAAGAATCTTATCATTCATTTTTCTGACAGAAGCTCACAGGCAGTGAGGTGGCCGGGTGTGACATGGCGGGGGAGCGGGGCCAGGGCCCTGGCAGCCTCATCTGTGGAGAGATCGTGGCCTCCAGTCCTCCAGATGTGCCCGATTGAGCACAGAGACAAGCTGCTCATCCACTTCGCGAGAAAAACGCAGGAGTTTCAGGTCAAATCCTTCCCCAGCATCGTCAAGGCCTCGCACAGTGCAGCCCGCACCCAGGAGAGAAAACCTTCCTGGAACTGCCTCCATCCTGAGGCCCCAGACAGAACTCTATTGCTCTTCGATGAACAATCTCTTCATCAAATAGATCTTGATTTACAGTACAAATATTTCCGCTTCCTCCTGAGGTTTCCTGTCCCAAGAAGCGTCCCAAAGCCCAAGGTGCTCCCGAGACACAGTCTTAAACTGAACACAGCTGTGCCTTGTAAAAACGTCCACCAGCAGCAAGCCTCAGGGGGTGGTCTTCCCCCTGACAGAGAACAGGCGGAGAAACCCTTCTCTTTCAAAAACCCGAATCTGCAAAACTCCTTATGGATCAGAAAATCTCTGAGGTCGCTCCTCGGGGCTGCTTCGGGCCCTGGTGGGAGCAGGCGGGAGCAGAGAGACGCCGCCGGCCTTCCTGCCGAAAAAGACAGACACGGTCGTGTCTGGTTTCAAGAATCAGCCCCTTCTCTGTGTCCCAGGCCTCAGAAGAATGCTGCTGATGTCATCAAATTTCAGTCATTGCAGCCGCCTGAGGTCTTTTCCAGCCCTAAGATAGTGGCGTTGGAGCAAAGTCTCTCTCCTAATGTACAGAGCAGTGAGGAGTCCGTGGTGCTGGAGGCCAACTCTCACTTAGGTGAGGAATCCAAATCTATCCTGCACAAAGTACAGAACGGCATTCCGCTGGAAAAGGCCAAGATGAAGAAAATCAAAATGGAGACGAAGACCCTTGACAGGGACACTTTAGGCCCTGGTCGAATCTGGGTGTGCAGACACCATTCCCTGACCATCACCCCTCCTCACTCCGAGTCCCACCGAGGAAGGAAGCACAGGCTCTCCTCCCAAAGACACCCCTCAGGTTGGGCGCCTGACCTGTCACTCACCCCTAGAGAACCTTCTCGGAAGTCTCCTCTCTCCTGCCCGAAGGAGAAGAGGGTGCGGACTACAAGAAATAAGACAAGTTGTTCTCTAGTCCCCTTAACCGAATTGAACCTCAAATTACATCTCGCCAGAAGCCAAGGCAGGCCGCCCTGGAGTTATGAAAGCAAAGACAGGAAGAAGGCCAAGACCGATCTGTTGAAGAAACATCAAGGCCACCAGGACCACGGTCATGGCAGGCCACGAAGTCCCGGGGAACGCCGCAGGAAGAAGACAGGGGGCTACTGTGAACCCGGAGCCCCTCACCATTGCTCAAGCAGACACAAGTCAGCCCGGAAGTCTCACCCGAGGACCGCTCACGTCTGCTGTGAGAGCAGCCGGCACCCTCCATTCGTGTACGCCTGCATCCCGGCCGACTCACTGCAGATCATCCCCCAGACCGTGCGCTGGACCATCCCCCTGCACACGCTAAGGAAGAACAACTTCAGGGCTCCCTTGGTGGCCAAGATTTCGAGGGCGCTATGGGGGCCCCCCAGGAATGTGCTAGAGTCATTCTTGGACCCCTCTCGTGTGGTTCCCCCAGACTGACCTTCGTGTATCTGCAGGGGAGAATGGGTTGGAATGTGATATTCTGTGATAAATAAAAAAGTAACTCCCACAGCTTGGAGGGTAAGTGTTCACGGGTCTGTATGGGCCATTGGAGTGGGGGTGAGCTGAGACCTGGTGGTGTGGTCTCCAAAAGATTGAGGACACCCTGCTGGTTGATATTGCCCTGTGCACTGCTGAGAGGCTGTACATTTCTTTTCTTAGAATACCGTGATTTACAAAGCTGTTTTACAAAGTAGACTTGTTTCTTTTTCTTTCTTTATTTTCCTTTTTTTTTATGGTCATATCCAGCGATGCACAGGGGTTACTCCTGGCTCTGCACTCAGGAATTACTGCTGGCATTGCTCAGGGGACCATATGGGATGCTGGGAATCAAACCGGGGTCATCCACGTGCAAGGCAAATGTCCTGCCCATTGTGCTATCACTCCAGCCCAATAGACTTATTCCGGGCAAGTTCTCCACGCAGCTGCATCCTTGACTCAGGAAAGAAGCAAGAGAATCACAGGAATCCACCCCAAAGACACAGCACCTGACACCCGGAGAGGGAGGGCTGTGGGGAGCCTTGCACATGCTCCATCCAGGCTCTCCCCATCGCCACATAATGGTCCCCCAGCCAGAAGTCCTGCTGGTACGGGATTTCAGCCAGGCCTGATGGAGAACAAACACACAGCTTTAGAAGTGGGATTCAGCTACGCCAGGGAGGACTCACACCAAGCCCACATTCTTTCAGCTCTTGGTCCCCAACAAAGGCCAGAGCCCCATTTGATAGAATATCTGTTGAGGGTGGGGCATTGTACAGAGCAAGGAGGGGGAGAACGGAAGCAGGAAGGCCTCAGCATGTTGCGTGCAGCAGGGTCAGCCCAGGTCAAGGACACTTGAAGCCCTTCCTGTGGTCACCAAGCAGGGAGTCCCTCAAGCCATCACACAGCCATGGTAGCACCCATGTCTTGGCCCGGCCATTCATCTCTCTGGCTGTTGGCTGTTCTGATGGGGCAGTGGGAATAAGGATCCAGTTCCCTCATCCTCGTGTTGTGGGGGGCATAACATGGCTATTGTCCTCAACCACACAGGAATGAGCACAGAGCCAGGAGTAAGCCCTGATCATTGCACTGGCAGACAAACAAGGATGAACTGCCCAAATGGTCTCAGTGTCCTTGAGGTCTTTAAATGTTTGATTACACCCTTGGCCAAAGTCAAGAGCTCACGATTTTGCTTTAGTGTCTGTGTTCAAACAACTTCAGGGACATTTAGAGAAATATATTGGAAGAAAACATTTATTGGCTTTTTTGGGTCATATCTGGCGATACTCAGGGGTTCCTCTTGAGTAACCCTGGCGATGCTCAGGATTACTACTCAGGAATTACTCCCGGTAGTACTGAGGGGACTATCTGGGATGCCAGATATCAAACCTGGGTCAACCCAAACCAGGGTTAGCTGAATGCAAGGCAAGCACCCCACTTAATGTACTATCAGTCTGACCCTGGAGGAAAACACTTTTTATTCCATTTTTAAATAGCCATAATGATGAAGGTGGATGTGTGAGTGTTTGAACGGGACTGTATCAGCTTTTCAAACTTTGAGATTTGAACACTTCACACTGGTTTTATTTTAGCAACATCTATAAACAAACAAACAAAAGCATCACAAAGCAATACAGGCTAGAGAGGACCCTGTGAACATGGCACAAGGAAACCAGGAATTGGTAGTTCACTGTGTCCAACAGAGGGCGCTGTGTCCCCCTTGCTGGTTAAAACTCTGTGTTTGGTGGTCGGACTGATAGTCCAGTGGGTAGGGCACTTACTTTGCATGCAGCCATCCCAGATTCTATCCCTACCACCCCACATAGTCCCCCAAGCCTTGCCAGGAGTGATTCCTGGGTGCAGAGCCAGGGGAAAGCTCGACATGGCTTTGTGTGACCCACCCCAACTCCCCTGCCCCCAGATGAAAAATAAAACTGTCAGTTTGGCACGTGGGCTTCCTTGGGGGCCTAGCAGTGCTCATCTTGGAGGTCCAGAGTCGGCTCAAGGACCCAAGGACAGTCCCATGAGTGGCCCAGGGAACAACTAAAGCTGGGCTTGTGTCTCCCTGACTCCGAATGACCCTCCAAGGCGTGGTTCCTTTGTGGTGGGTCTTGGCACACTTCCAGGGTTTGTGGCCAGAGATGCCTGCACGGTCCCACCTGTTAGCATGGAGGGGACAGATGAGCCGCCCTGTGCAGCCTGTCTCTGCCCATGAACGCCAGGTGTCTCGCCAGCACCTCTTCTCTCCTCTGCCATCACCTTTGCACGCTGCAGCACACCCTCACCCCCTCACCAGCCCCTCAGCCCTGCCACTGACTGATCCTTCCAGGTGCCAAGTACTTCCTTGTCTCAGCAGTCCCTGCAGGGAGCATCACTAGCACCCCTGCCTCCACGCTCTGTGCCACACCCACACAGACCTCTGCCCACCCATGGTGGCCTTCCTCTTAGTCCCCAGTCATCACCACCGAGACAATCAGTGCCTGCCCAAGCTGCCTTACCTGCATCTGGGCTGAACAGAGGGAACAGAGGCCCTTGCCTCTACTTCTGGAAGCTTCCACTGTTCCGCCACGCGGAGCCTCCCCTCCACGGAGCTGCGGAGGCCTCTGTTTCTCCTCTTCCCCCTGAATCTCTTTGTGTCTTTGGCTTCCTCCCTGCTTCTCAGTGTTCTTCAGTAACGGGTATCGATGGGGGTGACCCCAAGGTGGGCTCTGAGGATGCATCACTGGGGCCTCTTTATTGGGATTCCAGTGTGCATCCATCCATTTGTTCCCATCAGCTGCCTGCACCGACCCTTCCCTCTTTACCACCTGCTTCCTAATCTCCTGCCCAGTCCTCCCCCAGCCAGTGCCTCCCACTTTCAGCCTTGTAAGTGCTTGGGAGAGAACATCCTACCCTCTGCAGGTGGCTCATTGGGCCTCAGTTTTCATCTGTGTCTCTGTTCAGGACCCAGATGGAAAGAGCGAGAGCTCTGTCTGGGTCCTTGCTGAGCAATGTCCTGTTTCTGCAGCTGGATGGGAACCTCTGGTCTCCCCACAGCCCTGCAGATTGTACATCTCAGCAACATCAGCCATCCACTTCTCTCTCCTCTACACATGGTGGTCTCAGCCCCTCAATGTCTCTCATTGGATAAACAGCCAACACAGCAGGAACTGAAATGCCTAGGGCCACCCACACACCTCTCTGGCCACACACTTCCCATCGCAGTGGAAGGACAAAAGTACCTTGTCCTCAGTTCAGATTTTGTCCAACTATGGATAAATGGTCAAGAACTTGTGGTACACTGCTCACAATAGCCAGAATCTGGAAACAACCAGAGTACTTGAGAACAGATGACTGGTTAAAGAAACTTTTGTACACCTACACAATGGAATGCTATGTAGCTGTTTGGAGAGATGAAGTCATGAACTTTGCTTATAAGTGGATGATCATGGAGAGTATCATGCTAAGTGAAGTGGGTCAGATAGAGAGGAACAAACAGAATGACTGCACTCATTTGTGGGATATAAAGTAACATAATATGAGACTAACACCCAAGGTTTTATAGACTATAAAAACCAGTTCCTAGAACCACGCGGCCGCATTCGCGGCCGCGCAACATCTTATTATGACATCTTATTACCTCATTCCTACTTTGGACAAACTGGCAGGCTACCAAATGTAGCCTGCCCACATGGCAGAGTCTGGCAAACTCCCCGTGGCATACCCAATATGCCAAATACGAGTAACAATGATGGGTCTCATTCTCCTAAACAGCCTTGAATATAATCTCAGGGCTCGGATGAAAGAGACATTACTGGGGCCTGCTCGAGGCAATCGAAGAATAACAGGATGATCTGTGATCTGTGAACACCCAAGGACAGTAGACACAAGGGCCAGGAATATTGCTCCATGGTTGGAAGCTCGTGTCATGAGCTGGGGGAGAAGGCAGCTGGAATAGAGAAGGAATCACTAAGTCAATGATGGTTGGAGGAATCGTTCAGGATAGAGATGTGTGTTGAAAGTAGATAAAAGACCAAACATGATGGCCTCTCAGTATCTATATTGCAAACCATAATGCCCAAAAGTAGTGAGAGAGTATGGGAGAAACTGTCTGCCATGGAGGCAGGGAGAGGGTGGAAAGGGGCGGGGTATATACTGGGGACAGTGGTGGAGAATGTGCACTGGTGGAGGGATGGGTGTTAAACCGTTGTATGACTGAAACTCAAACATGAAAGCCTTGTAACTGTATTTCACGGTGATAAAAAAAACTATTAAAAAAAAAAAACTTGTGGTACAGAGGCTTGAGCAACAGTACAGCTGGGAGGGTGTTTGCCTGTCACACGACTGACCCAGGTTTGATCCCTGGTACCACATATGGTACCCAGAGCCAACCAGGAGTGATCCCTGAGTATCCCTGAGTATGGCCCCAAAACCCCCAATTTTTTTTAAGTTGTGTAATATTCATAGCATGAAATACTGTGATGCTCGAAGAAAGGACAAAATCATGTAATTTTCTAGGCTATGGAGGGATGCAGAGGCTGTCATGCCGAGTGAAATCAGAAGGAAAGGGACAAACATGGGTGATCTCTCTCAGGTGGGACCAAGGGAGCAACAAGGCCAAAGGTCAGCATGGCGGGACAGCTGACCCATGCAAACTGAGCTGTGAGGGATCGGGAGGGGGCACTAGGGGCCTGGTGATGAGGAAAATAGGGCCCTGCTTCCCCCCCATCACACACACACTCGGAGGATGAGGGAACTGGACCCTTATTTCTGCTGCCCCATCAGAACAGCCAACAGCCAGAGAGATGAAAGGCCGGGCCAAGACAGGGATGCTACCACGGCTGTGTGTGACCTGGTGACCGCAGGAAGCGCTCTGACCCTGCTGCACCCTGCATGCTGAGGCCTTTCTGCTACCATTCTCCCGCTCCTTGCTGCTTACAGTGCCCCACTCCCAACAGATATTCTATCAAATGGGGCTCTGG